TTTATGGTTATGGGAGAGGAACAAGGTGGTGACCGTGGGGTGTGCATTGCGGCTGGGCGAGGTTGCTGCGATGCTTGGAGTTAGTCGTGGCCTTGATTGCATGGTGCATTGGGCTGGGCGAGGTTGGCACGATACTTGGAGTTAGTCGTGGGCTTGATCGCATGGACAAAGTTGCTCATGAAGAACCTGATGATGGTGGGTGTTTTGATTGGTGAAGCATTGGGATCATTAATTCATTGTCCAATGAAGTTGTGATGCATTCTGGTTCATTGAAAAATGAATAATTGAATTTGTTGTGACCTACACCGGTGATAATCACAAACAATAATAGATAGCATTCTCAAAATTCAATTCTAATTTTACCCTACATGAAATTTTTACAACTCATTCCAATTTTTTATCGATAATTATTTAACACATCAATAACATAATCCTTGAAGATTTACCCAATTATCAAAATTTGGTCTTTCACCCAACGTTTCATTCATCAAGTTCTTCGCTTGCCGAACTTGACTAAATGTCGAGTTGAACATGTTTTTTGCTAGAAGAAATAGCAGAAACATATGAATGTCATTTTGATAAAGTTATCAGACTTCTATTGTGTAGATAACGTCTTTTTAATATAATGTCATATTGAACTATTTGATCTAAGAATTTAAGTTATCATAGTTGAAAAATTTATATTTCAAGTTAGATACTAAAAAGGATGAAGCCATAGTGATGGTGGAGGTATTTATACAGTTATACTGATGCAATTTTGGGAATCTTCACAGTCCAAAACATAATACAATATGCCCCCAAAAAATATGTACGTCTTTATGAAACAAATGCCCTTCACAGGAAAAGAATTTAACTCCAATATAGATTATCAATGAAATGTAGAGATTATTATTATCAAAGAACTTAGATGTAGGAGTTGGCAAATAATAAGCAACCCGAAGACCCTCGACTTGACCCGACCCGGATCGGTTGGATTGGGATGGCTTGTGGATGAATTCGAGTTGGTTTGGGTGCATATATATTTTAGAGAACAATATATTTCTAAGGTAGTTAAAACATACAAATTCAAAATTAAGGAAATTGTTTTAAAATTTCAAAAATTAGGTCATAATTTAAATTTTATTAATTAAATAGATTGAGGTCACAATATTATACATATATGATCAAATTAATAGGTCACGCATAATTTTTTTATTATAAATCACAAATTTTATAGGTCACAATTAATTTCACGACTATAAATTATTAAATTAATTGGTCATAATTTAACAAATTGTGAGTCATAATCACAAATTTAGTCGCAATCTTAAAATTTTATAGGTCACATTGATCACAAATAAACTATTTGATCATAATAATTCAAAAAATTAGCCCTTGTTTTTTCTCCATTATTTCAAAAATACATTTTTTCTTTATCTTATTTTTAACCACATATTCTTTAATAAAATAATATTACATGCAAGCCTTAAACTTTTTCTTATATTTTTAATCATACATTCTTCGTCATATTACTATTTCAAAATGCAATTTTGTCAAGAAAATTGGGCTCAATCATGGATTTAGTCTTAAATAGTCTTTATCCTACTTCACCGTTGACTACCCCAACCCCAATCTAGTACTGGCACCAACCGAATATTGCACCACCTCACCGTCACCACCACAAATAACGATCATTAGCACAACCACCGCCAACACTAGCACCAGCAACATCACTATCACCATTTGCAAACCATTCACAACTACCACCAGTGACATCACTCAAATGCTGTCGCCACCTCTAGACAATATAAAATGATGTGATATTTCATTGAAAGATCGAACTATTAAAAGACATGTTGAAGGATTGTATTCTATACAATTCATATTATACTTATATACTTTTGACAACTTGATAAAGGTTCGTTCACTTATCTCTTTATGATCGTACTCATAGAAGGAAAATCGGCTGTGAGTCATGAATTTTATCTTAGAGCCGTGTAATGCCGAAAGCACCCATATGAAGGAGAGACAACACGACTTTATGACAACATTCTTGATATGACTCTAAGGCTCGCATTTCTAATTCTTCTCTTTTTATGTTTACATTATTGTTGAATTATGTTTATGTTATTTAATTGATATATTTCTACACACAAATTATTCATTTTTCCCAACAATCCAAAGTCATGTTGATAATTAGGTGTTAAGAGAGATATGGATAATCTTTAAAATGTTTACCATGTTTGGGTACTTGTTATTTTGTGTACACACGTGAGATGAGATATAACACACATGGATTATATTGTAATATCTATCCTTACAATATTGCGGTCATTATCTTCAACGAGTAGAGCAACTAAGCAAAATATCTAATAAATGTGGGCTGTTTTTGTGAATTCCTTTAAGAGCCACTTTACTGAAATGTCCAAAGGAATCGATGTGCTGGAACCACATTTAGTCATAATACTAGGTCCCAACCAAAGTCAGGAAAATGGAAAAGAGACAACTGCCTTATATGGAATTAATTGTTTAAATGACAAATTTGCTATTGAACTCCCTTTCCACTCCCCCCTACAAATTTTAAAGCCCGCTAGTATTTGATTTTACCTCATCTAAATGTAAGCTACAACAACTGATGTCAATCATGTTTAAAACTATTTAAAAAATAAAATAAAAGGGAATGCACCAACAATTAGGGATTCTGTTTACAAATTGTTGCTACTAATGATTTGATAATAGTCTAAACATCCACTTTGATTCGTATAAACTGTCAAGATTAATAATCTTCTATTAGATAAAATTAAATCTAGTTCTGCAATCTTTTTGACGAGGTGTATTTGATCAATGTTTCTTTGCAAACAATTGATTGATCTTTCTACTGGGCTTTGGATATCCAATAAAAAAAAATACGAAATTGACTGAAATTTAAACCTATGGTGAAACAAATTGAAATTTTTTCTTAATCTTTGTTTGGACGTAGAGGGTGATAACTAACCTTAGATGGAAGGAGTATCTATAATTTATGAAAAAGGTACTAAATTAATATTTTAAAAGAGTATAATTTCATAACTAATCTGCTTAATTTTATTTACATCCCATGTGTAATACATAAATGAAGTTTTAGTCTTTCAAAATTAAAACTTTCTTAAATTTTCAGTTTTGATTTTTAATTTTCAACTTTAGAAGAAAGTTGAAAATCTTAATTATGGAGTGTAACTTATCTTCTAAATGGATTAGTTGTGGGTGGAATGACAAGACATTGTGGTAACATATAAATTAATAAGTTTTAATTTTCAAAACTAATACTTTTTTTTTTTTTTAATTTCATGTTGAAATTCTTAATTATGGAGTGTAACTTATCTTTCAAATGGATTAGTTGTGGGTGGTATGACAAGATATTGTTGTAACATGTTTTAAATTTCAAAATAAATACATTTTTTTTTATTTTACAAGTTTATTTTCAATTTTAGGTTTAATATAAAATTAAAATATCATTATATAGGATGTAATCTTATTTTTTAATGAATTAATTTTCATTATGGTAGGATTGAACTTTTACACTATTAAAGGGACATGAAATTTCAATTTTTTTTTTTTTTATGTTTAATAAAATTATTTCTCCGACAAATTATCATTTTCTCCTTCTCACCTTCACCTTTGCATGCATATTAATTTGTAAGGTAACTTCAATTTACTTAGAGATACTAAATAGTTGTGTGCATGCGTATGTGTATAAATTAATACTTTCCTAAATGAGTGCATATTGATAAATATAAGATTGTGATTGATTTTATGAGTGTGACGTTTGACCATGAAGCATGTAAAGAACTGAGAAACATGAATTCTAGAAAACAAGAAATGTGCATCATGATTTCTTAAAAAATTAGGCTTAGAAATGTTAAGGACTTTTCGCACATGTAAAATATTTATATAAATGGTATGTTCTTTTTATGATATCTTTTAAGACCTTATTTGATTACCAGTAGTGGCAGAAAATGTGATTTGGGGTGTTGGTATATTCTTGTTTGGCAAGAACACACTACCTATATAGGTGTTATATTTTAAAATTAAAATGTAATTTAAAGATATGATATAGGTATTTGTGTGGTATACTAAAATTTGTGTTATAAAAGACGTGTATGTATTGAGATGGAAATGGGAGTTAAACTCTTTTAGACACGTAAAAATTTAGCCTCCTATACGTGACTTGTAAAAATGTCAAAAGAAAAGAGGCTAATGGATGAGTTGGAAAATTGGTATTTTTGTTTTAATGTATGTTTAATATGAGCTTTTATTCTTCTTAGTCATTTTGGTACTAATTTTGATTTTTAACTATATATTTGTGATTAATTTATAATTTTTTGAAAATTTGAAACTATTATTGCAATTAGTTATTTATCATTTTATTTTACATTTTGTTTTATTTGAATATGAAGGTAAATTTGTCTTTTTATAGAAAAATGGATGAAAATGACTTTTTGCGCAATGACAGTTGGAAATAGGAGTGAAAATGCAACAAATGACAAGTAAGGATATTTTGCACAATGACACTAAAAGGTAGGAATGTTTTGAATTCGTCACTTTTTTAAATTTCTGTCACGTTTTTTAATTTGTTACCTTTTGAATTTTTATCACTTTCTTTATTTCTATATTTTTTTAGTGACAAAACATCAATTTTTAATAAAAGTGTCATTATATTTCATTTTTTTAATAAAAAAGTGACACTTAACTTTTAAAAGAAACATGTTGTAACTTTTTTTTATTAAAAAGTCACACAATTTTTATAAAAAAGTGAAAGTGTGTCAATATCACTTTTTAATATTACACAGTATTTTTTTTACTTTCAAAAAGATTTTCATATAATTTTTCAAAATACCTCTAATTTTAAGGATATTTTTGTAAGTTGTCCATAACAATTTACAGGTGCGGTGTGCTCCCTGGAAAATAGGCCGGCCCAATCCAGCTTGTTGCCAACTCTACGAACGGTCTAAATTTTGACACCTTAAAGTTCAAGGACCATTTATGAACAAGTACCGACTATTTAAGCCGACGATCATACAGAGCTAGCTGCTCTTGTCGGCCGTTATTTCTGGCTGCAATTGCACGAACAATCAGATATACTGTTCCCGCGCGTTTATCGTTTTCTGATCGTACTTTTTATGCCAAGAATCAATTTCCGGTAAAATTAATTTTATTCACTGCGCAAAACAGTCTTTTACTTTTAATTTAATTATTTTACTGAATGTATTTGCAGTCTTAATTCATGTTTTTGGGAGGTTTTTTGTTGAACGAGAAAAGTTATTCCGAATCAAAATTTGAAAAACATGGGGGATTCATCATCTCCGGATCCGAGCTCCTCAACGATGACGGACCTGAACATGGACACTCTGGTGCAGTGCGCCAGTTACCTAAGCCTTCGGGACCTCTCAAACATGGCGATGTCGTGTAAATATCTTCAAAGGGCTGCCTATTCTGATTCCATCTGGCTATCCCTTTTCAGGTTTTTTAAATTTCTTTTCCTTTTTCTAGGCAATATTCGGTTTTTCGAATGAGTTATTCTGATATTTGTACTGATTTGTGTTTCGCTGTAAGTAAGATTTTAAGCTTTAAAGGAAGCTGTGACAGGCTCACGAGTAAAAATTTTAAGCTTTGCCAAGCTTGAGCGTTCACTTATTATTAAATAACTTGTAAAATAAATCATTTCTTTATTGGTTATATTTAGAAATAAGTTACTTAATTTTAGATTAAAATAAGAGTAACTTTCGAGATAATTTACTTTTGGAAACAAGAAGTTACCTGAAAAGTAAGTTTTACGTTTATTAAGCTTAGCCAAACATGCTCTTATTTTGTTAGATGACAATGAAATCTACAAATTTGCATACTGGAGTGTGCCAATCTAGGGAGTTTAGAATAACATTTTTTTCCTTTTAACCCCTCTTTTATAGGAATTAAAATCTAGATTTTAATTTAAGCGAAAGTCTACAATTAATTTGAGCTGCATATTTCATGGGTCTCACACTTGTTAACTACACATTTCATCAACTTTTATCAAAATATACTAAAAATCTGATTTTAATTTGCACGAGGGGTGCAATATTATTTGGGTATTGGATATTGGTTAGCACTATTCCAAGGCAAACTTGCTTATCTTATTTGTTTTTAGAACTGGCAATGACCCTCATTTTCGAGGAATACAACTTGTTTGCAGTCTCTAACAACAGACCTTATGGCTACATGCATGTCCGTTTTGCTATTTATTTTCTTGTTTGCTTCTTGGGGAAGATAATTTGTGTTGATTGCCTTTTTCTTTTTTCGTTTCTGCTTAAATACCTTCATTACTCACTTATAAGAAAAAAATACCTTCATTACTCACGTATTATTATGCATGTGGAAACTTGCAGACATCGTTGGCCGCTGCCTATACCTCTGAGCTCTTCGCAAGTGTCAAATGTCAGGGATGCATACCTGACTAGGCATTCTACCATGCAACAGTTTAAGTACTTAGATCCCCAATCTTCTGACTTCTTTACGTTTGGAAAACCTTCTGAACATATTTTGTTGGATAAAAACAATGTCATGTTTTCACAGGTATTAGGTTTCTATTTTGCTACATTCTTTTCTTACATAGATGTATCTTATGCAATCATTTGCCTCTAAGAGTCCCCCACTACCCCCAATTATGAGCGAAACTGAAATGACTAATTTCTGTTTACTGATGGATGCATGTAGGTATAACTTAAAAAACTACCTAGTGAAGTTGCTTAGCAAGTTAGTTTAAATTGAATTAACGTCCAGGCAAGACCAAAAAGAAAAAAATAAGTAGATGGGGAATAAGGAGTTCTCATCTTATATTTCTGCGACCAATATGGTATTCTATTCTTGCTATTGTTTGCCAGTCAAATATGAGCTACTACTTTGTGTGGAATCTTGGGGTAGCAGGACAGTGAAGAAAATGATGGTTACAATGAAATAAGCAGAAAGGGGAGGGAAGTGAACAGATGTTGATAATCTGATTAACATGTTGGCTGATAAAAACTGATAAGAAAACGAGATGAAATAATTTTTTTTTTTTTTTATATCATTTACTTATTTATATAACATGGCATGAACAGTAGGAGTTAATATCATTAAAATTTGACTCGTCTCCCTTCCAATTCCATCCCCTATTCATTTCAAACTTGAACTACGAAGCCTGCTCCCCC